TTTAAATAGATTTTCAATACTTGATTGTGTGAGGCAATTTATACTGAAGTCACTGCAAAGAATAATTTTAGACTGCATTTTTGAAGTTTGGTTAGAATAACTTCCAGATTTTTTAAAAAGATTTTCAAATTCCTAGCAGGGCTGCGATATGTGCATAAGACTCATGTTTTTATTGTTGTTATGTCAATGATGGATATTTCAATCTTTCTCTTTTACAAGATGAGTGTGACTGGTGTAGGGTACAAAACTACTTGTATCTTTAATAAAAATGCATGTCCCACCATATGCATGATGTGTGTTGTTAATATTTTGACATGAGCTGCTGGCTAGAGAGAAACCTGGTATATACGTGTTATTGAATTGTTGTTTAGTTAGCCGGTGTTCTGTGAAGCACAATACTGAGATGTGGTTGAGTTTCTCCTCAAGTAATATTTCTATATCATTGAGTTTATTTTTCAGTGACTGTACATTTTGATGAAGAATGTTGTACCCCTATTGGAATGTCTACCCATAATTTCTACCATTCGAGTGAATTTGCTCGATTGTTGGTATTTTTTTTATTTTATATGCATCAAGTGAAATTTTTATTATTCTGGATATTTTATGTACTTGACCTTTTATATCAGGTCGTTTTGTTTTTTGCCAATATCTTCTCAGATTATGTTTTGTTTTAATAATGTTGACTATTTTTATTGGGAACAGGTTTTTGATTTTGCAGAGCTATTGATTTAAATGGGATTTTTGATTGGTTGATCAAGTTTTGGATTGTTGGTGTAAAATTCAGAACTTCTTTATTTAATTATTCAATTGTGTGTTGGTGGGGAAGACTAGATTTATATTCATCTGTTTTTGAAATTTGTTCCAGCTAATTTTGCTATTTGATTCAATATTTGATGTAATGTTATGTAATTTGGATTGAAGCTATTTGATAGTTACAGTTATTGGATTATGATCTGAATCTAGATCTGCTGTTACTCCCTGTTCAATTGGTAAATTAATATTTTTTGTTATAATATCCAAAATGTTAGATGTTACATTACATTCTGGGCCAATGACCCTCATCTCGATCAGGTTTTCGTCCAGTTTCCCTGATCTTTGAGCAAATGGTGAGATGGCCACTTGTTTTGCTTCTGGACATAAATGTAACTTCAAATTAACTTCTCCCTATAGCACATCACACACAGTTTTTGACATAAATAGATAAATTAAAAAAAAAAGAACAAACAATGTTGTACGAATAATACGAGGGATGTAAGAGTGCTAATATTTTGATATTGTTTGATGTGGTGAATGAATGAAGTTTAATGCCTCGTTGGGTTCCATAACATTCCCAAGACTGTTTTTATTATTTAAGTCGCCCATAAGTATTATATTGTGGTTATTGTTGAAAATTTCATTATATTGTGTAAATGAGAGTTTTTAATTGGGAGATTTGTGTGCTGTAATTAGGGTAATATTATTATTTCCAATTTTAATATTTGCTGCTTAGGTCTGGTGAAATTGGCCATCTCGTCAACATGTGTTTAACTGGTTTTGATATAATTAATGCTACTCCACCTGATGCTGTGGCCGAGTCTGTCATTTCTATGTATTTAATATCCATTTATTTGAAATTTTTAATTAGTATTAAATGTGTTTCGGTGAGACAAGATATATCTATAGCTATATCTAAAAGTTGTGGTTTTTCTAGTTGGTAAACGAGAAAATTCTTTGGGACTCTTGTGTTTGTGGCACACGGGTGGGATAATGTTCTATTCTAGTTTGCTGTATACCTGTAGTATTTTTCCGTTTTTGGAAGGCCGCTTTATAAGGACAGCAATGATAGTTCGCAGTGTGTTCCCCACTGCAGTTTATGCAGATTGTTGGAATATTTTTATTTGTTTTAGATTGCGTATAATGGTGATCTTCATTGCATCTAATGCATCTTAGAGCCACATAACAATTTGCCTGGGAATGGTCAAACCTTTAACAATTTTTGCATTGTATAGGTGCATTTCGCTTGATACGGGGTTGAATTTGAATTACAATGTACTGACATGTGTTTACTGAAAAACAATAGTTTTGCACTTGGTGTGTCCATTTGATCCATTTCACAGGTTTTCAGAAGTTGTTTTCTTTATTGTATAGTGTACACACTTTTACCACTGGATAGTTTTTATTGTTAAACTCCTCTAGTATTTCATGCTCTGAAATAGTTTTGGGTTTCTATACCTTTTAATATTACTGTAAATGTTTTTATTGTTGGATTCTGGTATGTATAGAACGATATGTTATCTTCTTTGGAAAGTTTTCTTAATTTTCTAAGCCTTTCATAGTGGTGAACATGATTATGATTTCATTGTTGTGTATACAAGTAGTGAAGTCATTGGTTGCATTTTTTCGTATGTTTTGAATTACTAAAGAATAATTTTTACCTGTTATATTAATTGGCGGTATTTTAACTGTAGTAGGTGTTTATGTTTCAATGTCTTCTGATTCTGTATTTAATAGTTCATATCTAGATTGAACCGGAACGTTTATGGGTATTGTGAACCTTTTGTTGTTCTTTTCTTTTTAGCTGGTTGTTCATCTATGGAAATTGAATTTTTACTTACGAGGTCTTGTGAAGTTCCTGGGGGACGAATTAATTCTGGGGCTGAGGTTGTTTAGGTTGTTCTTGCTGCCAGTGCACCCCCAGCTGCTGCTGTAGTTGTTGTGTAAACTAGAATTTTAACGCTGTAGCTGTTGTCTAGAGCGTCCTTTATTAATTGCCCCATGGTGGGGCTATTATTTGTTGACATTCACTCACTGTTGTTTTCGATCACTTCACTTTTAGTTGTCAACTAAGTTGATGATTATAGTCTGGAGAATGGCACAAAAAATCTTAAGTTATTGCAATATTGCCAAGTATTTGTTATAAAGAGACGTTGAATCAAGAGGATCAAAAGTTAATATGTTATGAATTGTAAATGAGGAGAGGAAGTTAGTGTGTGCAATGCAAGTAATGTTATCTTTTAATACAAATATGATGGCTTGGTGTTCTGTTCCATTTACCTGCAACTCCCTTTTGTTTATTGAGGCGCAACTTCTTGAAAGAATTATTGCACATGGATTAGAAAGCTCTGAGCTCTTCAATCCCATAGCACCTATGAAAGCTAGAGATATATCAGAAAGTCTGTTCAAATATTTGTAAACACATGCAAGTGGTTTCATGAGGCAAAGTACAAAAGGGAACATCAGAAGAAAGTCAAAGAGATGTAAAGAAGAAGCGAGAAACATTTAAGGAGCAAGACTGGAGAACTAGGGATGCAACAACAGCAATACATTCTCGTATTATATCTAAATTTGAAATTTTCGATAGTTCTGAGAGTTCTATGAAAATGAGACCGGTACTATACTTTTACGCGTCTGTTCTTCTATCCTCGTAAACAAAATGGTAAAAACTTCCTTAAGTGTTCTTTACGCTATAAGTATCCTCATGAATCAAATTATCCGGTTGAAAGCTTGAGTCCCAAAGCAAAGTTTGTTCAGATCGGAAGGGGGGGGGATATCAATTTTGGATCCACACTAGCCGACTTAGGCCTGTGCCGGATCTCTCCATCAAGCAGGGGAAGTGCCGGATCTCCCCATTGCAGGCGATAAAACATGCATTGCACTTATGGGATTAATGCCCTTAGCCAATCAAACTTGATAGAATTTCCCTACAAAAAAAGACAGATGACATAAATATATATAATATGTTTGAAAAAATCTTAATCAAAATGCAAAAGCCCCTATTTTCTTCCAAGAGCTAATCTTCTCAGCATTGTGTACAACACTACTAGGAACCATTCGGAGGTGTGGTTCCCACTAATTGACGCGGGCCCTCCGGCCTGCTCTTCTCAGTAAAGATCACTGCAGGACATAGAACAGTTATTGAGCCAGCAGTTGAGGTAGGTCGCAGCGTAATGTTCGTCCGTTAAAGATACAAAATAAGACATCTGTTTGAAAGGGTGGACTTGCACCTAGCAAACAATGCAACTGCCTATGGGCCCAATATCAGAGGGGGCTCCAGATTATAGTAATAAAATACAATAGTGGTCCTAGTAAAATGTTCTATTTAAAAAAAAAAATATGGAATAGCAATTATTTAGTGTTTTAGTAGTTAACAATCTTTTTAAATCAGTTGTCCAGATCATTAAGGCAGTAGTGTCGTAGCGATCTAGAACTTAAAGATAATGGGTTTGAGTCCCACCTCGGGCATGGTTGTATTTATTCGTCCTTTCACCCCCTATCAGCACCATATCATGTCATCGTCATAGTTACCGTAACGTTAAATCCAGTAGTGGTCGCTAACGACCTAGATGTTGATGCAAACTTAAATAAGAAAAAAAAATTTTAAATAATTTGTTTGATGTAGATTTTAAAATATTTGGATTGCTGGAATACAGATAACTATAAATAAGTGGAAATTAAATACAATTATAACAATAATAATTACATAATTATTTTATATTAATATTTTGCCCATTTTTTGTTCAATTACTAAAAGGAGATCCAATCCAATCAATTACTAAAAGCCAATCTGACATCAAGGACTAGGTCCCCAAGGCCCTCATTCTGAAAGTCTGCCGTCACCTGTCTGATTAACTGATTGGTCAGTTGAACAATTCAAAATTTGTGATCAACATGCAATAATTTCAGATTAACTTTAGAAAATTGTTTCACATTATAGTGTAACCAAACATATTTTATAATATTAGGAAAGTTATTCTTTGACAAACTTAAATGAGCAAGGCTTGGGCTCGCAAAAAGGTTTTTGAAAAATCCCAACATTTTTTAGACTATGCGCAATAACAAGTATACATTTTTCCCTTTGTATGTAAACGATCCTGTAAATATTCTTTTAAAGTAAAAATCACTTTTCTAATATTTTTTAAAAATTGTTTGGAGAGGAGCAAAGCAATATACATCATATTATATAAGAATTTAAAAATATTTTTTATTAGTTTGTACTTAATGAATTTTGTTCATGCAATTAGGTTTCATTGTGCTTCCAAAGAACTGTTGCTGACTTTCTGGGCTTGAGATTGTCTAGAGCTGAGCAAGAGGAACAACAGCCTGTAATGAAAGCTGAAATTGTTGAAGCTGCTCCGGTGGAAACCAAAGTGGTTGTCCAACCAGTTACATCTAAATCATCAGTTTGTAGTGTTCAGTAAGAGTTTTCAACATTTAAATCTGTTTATTGAGAGAGCTGTTATCTAGTATCATTTAAAGAAAATTGAAATAAGTTGCTTTAAGAATTCAGCCTTTGAAAACATTGATAGGTTCAGAAGAAATACACATTTATTGTGTTACTTGTACTTTTGAAACAAAAATGCTTATATTTTTTATAGTGATTAAGAAGTAATTTAAGTTTATGCAAATTTCGCCTTTTCACCTTTTCACTTTTCTTTTTATTTGTATGTTAAAGCATCTTGAGACCTTTAATGCATTTGAATGTATTGGTTGGTGTGTTTACATTTTATTCACTATGATGACCATTCTCTGTTGCCGGAAATGAATTGTTCAGATAGTGATTATTTTTCCTTATATTCATTATTTTCAGTTTCCTTCTATATCCATTATTTGGCCTTTTGTCTTACTCATAGTTCTTGACCAATCAAAGTATCTTTCTTATTATTAATGACAGTTATTTGGAATGTATATAGCGAGAAGAACTGTGATGCAGTTTGTATTTCAGCCTCTCTATTCTCGTTTTTATCTGCTGTGAGATTTTAATTTTCTGTCTTCAGTCTTCTGCTGAAAGCAATTGAAACACACACTTCTATTTTGATGAGAGCTACTAGATCCATTTTGTATCTAAAGAGCTTTTTAATTACTTCTTTTTTGTTTTCAATTTATTCTGAAATTTTAATGTTCTATTAATTCACAATAGTGGGGTTGTGAATTGTTTCTCTTGGAAATGTCTATTAGAAATACACAGAAATACTTTCCGGCCTTGAAAACTAATATCATTGAAGGAAAAGAAGTCTAAGATTAAATCTAATAAAAAAGATTACATGAGAAATGAGGCTCCAGTAAATAGAAGCATGCATGTTAAACTAGTAACACTTGCCCATGAGGCAAAGGCAACCATTGCAGTTTAAATGTAAGTTTGGGTAAAAGATAAGAGAGTGAATAACTGTTCTTGTACTAAACTCCTATGGTCAGTGTGAAGAATTTTAGTGGCCTTCCGTCAGCAAAACGCTGAGGCAAGATGTAATATTTTCTTCAAGTTGTCTCAAGTCATTATCTTAATCACACACTCGCTTTCTTATATTTGAAATCTTTTCAGTATCAATAACTCTCTTCTTCCCTTCCCAGTCCACTGCACTTCGAATGCTCACAGAAGCCCGTGAAGGTTACTTAAGTTACTAAATCACTGGGCTTGCTGGTTGTGATATTAACACTTATCGGCTCAGAAGTAGGACACATAACACTACAAATGAAAGAAACAAGATCTTGGCCTATCCCTTTCCAGCAAGAATTTGGACCAATGTATGGACCATTCCAGCTGGCTTTTTTGGTGATGTTTCATGAAATCCACAGATATTGATTAATTTAAAGAAGTTAAATTTGCTTTAGATATGTCTATAATTCTTTAATAATAAATTATTATAAATATAATATTATAAATATAAAATAAATAATTATAAATAAAGTTTTGAAATGTGTCTAAAAGAAGACATTTTAGGAAGCCATAGGACTCTGGAGGGTTGTATTTGTTATTACTTATGTTTAATTAGAAATGTCAGTTGCATGCAAATAAAATACTTGTCACACCACTTGTTGTACACTAGAAAAAAATGAATAGTAGGACTATTTGAGCTAATGTGGGTTGATTCCATTTCGCATTGTCTGTAGCTGTAGATGCAGAATAAAAATAACAAAGAATTATTAAGATATAATAATATGCCAAAGATGTATTTGTAAATCCGTCCAGTAAATAATGTTATTATTTATAATGTTCATACCGTAAGCGACAATCTAATTGTAATTGGTGAAAATAAGTGTTTCGCTAATCATTATTTTCTGTAGTGTCTTCATAAATGTTAGGACATTGGTTTTTATGAAAATGTGATAATTTTTTCTTTTCATCTTATTTTAATTTCATTCTCTCTGTCATTGTGAAGAAATATTAAGAAACATAAGAAATTATTATTAACATTATTATCATTACACCTTAATGCAAATGTATTTGCTATATCTATTTATTTTATATTGCACAGAAGTTTTATAACACAGTTAAATTTGTAATATATTATTAAATGACAGTTTCATTGTACAAATTGATGTGTATAGAACTTAAGATACAGCACTAATTTAGGACTGAATTGATAATACATTGCTTTCTGATAAATATTCTAACTTTTCAATTCACTGATAGAAGAGATTAATATATTTAACATGCTGTCAGTGATATGTATTGAAAGAGAAATTTTGCTGAGATATTTTTCAAATGAAATTTTAATGAATTTACAAAGACCTGTAATTTTCACTGCGAGTTGAAGATCAAAAGATTTTTTTCATGAATAAACCAGTCATTGTACATAGTATATGCTTTTGTTGTAAATGGAGAAGAGTTTTCCAAAAGTCCTAGTTTTTATTGAAAAATTTATTATCTAGCACGAACTATACTTTCAACTTGTTGGCTGGGTCAATCTATGGTTGACTCATCTATGACTTTCTATGGTTGACTTCATCTATATCAACTCCGGCCGCGGAAGCCTACGCAACCTATACTTTCAACTTGTTCTGGGAAATGAGATCTTTTCAGTTGTTTAGTGAAAAGGTATCACTCTGCTAGCTTTTTCACATTTTCTGACAATTTCTAATGTATAATTTCTTGAGTTTAGGTATATTAAAATAAGTTATTTAAATTGCCAACATTTTGGCTTTTATGAAGCCTTTATCAAGGCAGTTCTTATAAAGTTAGCATATTAACAATTATTTCTCCTTCCACTCTCTTTTATAATCCATGACAGTAACACACTGATTGTGCACTAATTATGCATGTCCTTACACTCCATATCTGCTGCCAATATCACTAGATAGATATTCATATTGAATTCGGGAAGCAGAAAGTTGATTTTGTCTGGTGATGTTGGTGTCACCAGATATGTAGTAAGGCTTTCGTGAGGCTGAACTCCAGTATATTGCATGCAGTCAGTGATTGTTACTGTAATGGATTATATGAGAGAGTGGAGGATAAAATTGTAATGTTAATACAACTTTACAAGAATTGTGCTTATGAAGGCTTAACCCAGGAGTGCTTACAATAGATCTGCGAGAACCAAGCCACAGCAATTTTATGTTTTTGAATTATTGTGATGCATAATATTGTCGCCTGATATGTCGTGTATTCCTCCATTGTACTTTTCTGAAAACGCCTGACCTTCTGTTTTTATTCTTTCATTGAATCATCCTGTATCTTGAAACTTAATCATTGCGCTGCATGATATCTGTCAGATACATTGTTTGCAGTGGCGCCAATGCATTCTGAACTTCTGGCGTAAGCGGTACAAGGCGTTATTTTCAGCTGTGACTATGAGAAGTACCAACAGCAAAAGTAATCATTTTTCTTATCTAAAATATATTGTTACAATTTCTTCCCAAAGAGAAAGATGATGTGCTGGGGATATCTGTACGAAAGAAAATGCGAACCTCGCAAAACGGAAACAAGACAGACTTTCTAAATAATTTTGTGAAAAATTAAAAATATGTTTGTTGAGAACATGCCAAAATTATTTGTGTAAATTGTTTTTAATATTATTTAATAAGATAATAAGATGCTTAATATTTTTTGTGTACTCTGTCAAGTTTTACCTTACTCATCATAAGTATTCAGATAAGATTTCTGCATTGTAGGATTCATTAACAACTGCAAACTAAATAAGATATATATTTCAGAAAAAAAACCTTCAGAACTTTTGCATTCACAAAAAGTTGCAGCTATATCTGACAGATACACGGCGGGCACTGGTCTGAGTCTGCCTATTGCGAGCACTCCCAGGTTAATAGAAAACAAAACGCTGGGAATTTATTCAATTTATTTACATTGGATCTAAACTCAAGAAAAATATATATAGAAATTTTAATAAAAAGCCAAGAAGGATAGCATGTGTGACACCTCTCAATATTGCACTAGAAGAAGAGAAGAATGATAGAAGCAAAATAGAATTGAAATGAATATGTAAACGATGATAGAAAAGTATCCATTTTGGAAATTGCAAGTGAGATATGTATAAAGGGAAGAAATTAATGTATTAATTACGTAGTTATATTTGTTTATTTGGAAACACTAACCAAAAAAATTCGGTTTCTTTTCTGGTTGCTTTAGCAGGGTTAGGAAATCTTCAGGGAAAAGTGCAAACCCAAAATAGATCACATCACAAAGTAGACGTCTGGATCAATGGGTAGGTAATATGTATAAATTTGTACCAAGACAAAATAAATATAACGAAATTCTCAAAAGAACAGTGCCTGATAAAGAAAATCTAAAAGCATTTCTTTAAGATTGACCTTAGACTATACTTTTATACAGTTTATCCTGCTTTGAAAAAAATCTTTTCCTCTTTTTTTATCTTTGATCTTTGTGACTCATGCATATCAGTAATTCTTTCCAGAGTGAAAATTGTTTAATTAATAACTTGCAATACAGGTATCTCAGTATAATTGTTAGAAACTTATAGGGCATGTAGAAAGAAGCAAGATAATTACTTTTCCTCAATGAACATGTGAGAAGTTTCAAATAACAAAGTTACACTCATGACATTTGCAGTGATAGTTTCCAAGGTCACGTACTGATGTGATCAAAGAGAGTCTGTGAAATTGCCGAACACTGGTATATGCGAAGTTGCTCACAGGAAACAGGAAATTTTTTCGTATGTGCAACTTTATTATGTGAAATTTCAGACCACATGTTCATTGACAAAAAGTGGTCATCTTCAACCCCTCACGTGCCCTAGAAATCTGTAATATTTAATTTGAGACACGATATAATGCATAAATATTTGAATTTTTTGTTTTTATTTGTGTTAATAAATTATAGATAAACATTTCAGTTGATGTTTCAGTGATCTGAACATTCACTCTGTGAATAATTTTAATGGTATGGAAAATTGTTATAATTGTCATTTATTTTATTTTTTGATTTTATTTTCTTTTCTTACAGCTGTGATTACTGACTTTACAAAAGTTGCATTTCACACTCTATTTTATGGTAGATACGTTTTCATGCAGAAATAAATTATTGTGCATGGTAAGTAATGCATTTTATTTAAGTAACCATTTCTTTATCAAATATATAATCCAGTTTTTTTTCCAGTTATATAATCCTTTTATGATTTTCTTTTTCTTTTTTGTTATCCAAGAATTGGACTATGAAAATTAAGTATCATTCATTTAGATTAACCAATTGCAATTGTTCTTATGATATTTGTGAAGGAACTATTTTTGTGTTTGCTGGGAAAGCACTGTTCACTCGAGGGTTTCGTTGGTGTGACACAGAGATGAGTTTGAGGGATTGATTTTGAGAAGCGAGTAACTGTTAGCCCTACTGTTTGATCAAATTATCAAATGAACTACATTGTGACAATGGGTCATACCTAGAAATTCACAAAAGGTGTTTGATTTTCCATCATCATTATCATCATCATCATCACAACAAACCACCAACACCAAATTTCTGAATATTTCCATAAAAATTGCTTGTTGTAACAAAATGGAATGGCAAAAGTCCAACTGTTTGAGAGAAGTTATAGAAAACTTATTTGCAACGGTAAACGATGCAGATACGATTTTTCTGCATTGCTAACAAAATAGTAACTTGCCCTTACCTCTACTCCTACCATTACAAGCAAAAGGAAAGTTCAACAAAACATGCCAATATTGATGCTATATTTACGTCCAGAAACAAAACAAGGGGCCATCTCAGCATTTGCTCAATGTATCAGGGAAAACTGGACAAAACAGCTTATTGAGATGGGGGTAATCGACCCGGAAACTGAAGTACATTATTACAAGCATATTATACATGCATTATACAAGTATATTAAGTCTTCTAAAACCAATTTTACAATACAAATGTTCATTATATATTCAATTAATTCATATATATCACTGTTTTTTTAAAATAAACATTATTGATCAGTTTAGTCTCTAATTGTATAGAAAGAGTTATGCAACAGAAAAGATTTTACTTTTAACTTAAATTTGTGAATCTACTTCAATTGTTTAATGTCATCTGGCAATGTATTGTATGTGGATTTCTGATATTGAGCTGTGTTGATACTGACACTTGATGAACTTGATTTCTGTGATGTGTGTTGTAATTATAAATATCAGTATTGCATGAAAATACGTTCCCAATGTTAAGTAAGTCAGTTTTGACAAATATTACAGATCCATAACAATGTAGGCAGTGGTATGATTCCAAGCTCAATGAAGAGAGCTTGCAGGGATCACGCAGGTGGCATTTTTTCAATATTCGAATAATTTTCTTGTGCAATATAAAGCTCTGGGTACTACATGATGAGCTTCCTCAGAATATAATGCCATATCTCAGGTGAGAATGTTCATTTGCAAAATACACGCTAGGAGCTGCATGAAGGCTGACGGAATTTGAATTGTGAATGCGTGACATAATGGACTTAATTTCGTATTTAATTCTGTAGTATGTACATTCCAGTTTAGGTTTGACTGAATTGTAAGATCTAGAAATTTTTTTACCTTAACATCAGGTAATTGCATATTGTTCATTTTAAATGGAGCATGCGATTGCTGATTTGAAATAGAAAGTAATATACATAGTATAGGGAAAGTTATGTAATGCTGCGGAAAATGGATTTCGAGATTTCGACCGAAATACACATTTTGGTTCCCCTGTTACCGAAAAAGTATTTTTCCCAAAATAACAGTCTGTCTTACTGTCCGTCCGTCTGTGAACACTACTAGCGCCTAAACTATGCGTAGAATTTTTTTCCGAAATGAAGAAACCCTGTCTGGGCTGGGGCTGGAGTCAAATCTTTGAGATTTTGAAAAACATTCTTTAAAATTTGGGGGTACTTTATATGAAACCCCTGGGACATTTTCAAATTTTCTCAAAAACGGCTCGAAATTTTATCTTTAAATTTCTTGTAAGAATAGAGCAAAATTCACATATAAAAATGGCATAGGTCCGATTTTCATGATAAACTCTAAATTTTCGAAAGTTTATTTTTTATATATTTAAAAAAAAATCCAGCGACTTTTTACAACTGCCCAAATGAAAGAAGAGACTTTTCCTTCAAATGAAATTTGTTCTCCCTAGTTAGTTTTTTCATTGTCTTGTACATTTTTTTAAAAATTTTTTTCGCGTGATATGTGTAATTTAAAAAAAGAAATCGAAAACAATAAGACGTTTAAACGTTTGGTAAGGATAGTGCCAAATGCACTCTGTAAGGCGACATAAACGCCAATTACAAAAATTTAATTTTTCACTTGCTTCGCGTTAATATTTACATTAGCAGCTGTTTGTTCACACTATTGCAATTATGGGTACATGTGCTTTAAATAATGTCATATAAAGTTTCTCGAAAACTCGGCCGTTTAGTGTTAAAACTAGCCCAAAATGTCGCATTTCCAGATACGTTCAAACGCCGTATTCTCAAAAACGGCTCAATTTTTTTTTTTAATCAAACTTTTCGAACGGTATATGTAATGTGTGTGCGAGTTGGAGTGTGAGGGTGTGTATGAAATACTTCTATTTATTCTCAGTTTATTTGATTCAATTTATAAACATTTTTATCGGTATTATTACTCGTTCTCATTACGTCTACATTTAAGTTTAATTTTAGCTAGCTCAGGTTTTCATGTACGGCGCAACAATACTTACTTCTCAGGTTCTGAAGACATTGTATTCTTCCTGTAATACGCTAATTATGACTGCCAAACAAGTTCACAGCTGGTAATAATTTTCAGACTTTGGAAAAAAATCAGGAGTTGGTGTTTTTTATTTTTAATTTTTGTACCATTCAACATACTAATAAAAAATTAATTATTTTTACCAGGGCCGGTTTAAAGACCTGCATTGCCCGTAGCACTATGGGACTCTTATTCATCTTTCTAATTTTTGAAGCCATAGTTAAGCGCGTGGTATATAAAAAAAACTTTAACCAATTTTCGATAGTAATTTTTTTTTTAAATATATTCTTGGCAAAATGTAGGTATGCGAAATTAAAAGTAGTTTACTTTATATTTTTACAATTATTAAAATGTATCGCAATCTAAATCTTAATGTTCTTGTATCGATTTCTAAATAATTTCTTGATTTTAGATCTATATAATATTTATTCATTTGAACATAAATTAAATTAATTGTAGCCAATACCTGCAATTATATTATATATTTAAACTATATTACATTATAATATGTAATGTTTGTAATAATATGTGTAATAAATTATATTGCATATATATAATAAATATTTATATGTTTTCCTTTATTAAAGAATATGAAGGTCATTTTAAAAGTAAGTTACACCATTTTTTTTTTAATCGACACGGTAGGCAGGAAAATACCGGGAATCTCAGATATTCGTCTGGGTCGAGTGGCATCACTAAAATTTCTAGCAACAATGGAGACACCACTTGTTCCTTCCGCCGATTGCTAAGTTCGTGCTATTATTCGTTTTCTTGCAGGAAAAAATTAGTCATCCTCCATATTCTCCTGTTCTTGCACCTTGACTTTCATCTTTTTTCCGAATCTTAACATCTGAGGGGAAGACATTTCGCTAGTGAGAATGACTTGAAAGAAGAAGTAGAGAGATGGCTTGCCAGTATGATGGGAGAGTGATATGACACTAGATTTAAGAAACTCTTGTCACGGTACAAAAAATGCACTGAATTGCAAGGGAATTATGTAGAAAAATAGAAATAAAGTATGTAATTTTCAAAATGTAACCTCTTCAACTTTCTAAAATGTTTTTCTTAGTGTAACTTACTTTTGAGATCGCCTTCATTATTTAATGAGGTTAAAAAACTGTTACTTATTTTAAAGCTTGAATTATGTTTAAACAATTTAAAAATGTGTATGTGATTGAAGTAAGAGTAAGTCTTATAACATATTGTTTAACTTTAAAATTATTTATTTATATATACTTTTATTTCAGTGGTTTTTTTACAGTAAGTTTACAAATTTCATAACAGCAAATCTTTTTTTCTTTATAAACGAGACATTTTTTTTCTCAGAAAGCGTGGGGATTGTAGCATATGCTACAAGTGCTACTAGGATAAACCGGGACTGATTTTTACTGGTTACAGCTGCTTAGGAGTTATCTACTGTTAATATTTGTCTATTATCTTAAATATCTCCATTTAAATAATAATAAAAATAAATATTTGTCTTTAAAAGCTGATAAGAAAGAATAATTATCTTTAAGGTCGATGGCTATCGTTACTTTTCTTCATATTAATATAAACTTAAATTATTCTTAAATAACCTTCGTGGCCTTGTACATCGTTAATTGACTGTTTTTGAAAATAATTTTCAAGTTTTCGAACACTTCCCTTTCGACGAGAACAGCTCAGGTCGGGACCATGCATTTCTTTTACGGGATGTCCTTAGCAGCTAACGCTCCAGGAAGCATTAATCAATCAGTAAGTCTAAATATCCGTTTCAAACTCACACAACCTTCAATTCATTCTGCTCAATCAGAACATAATTTTTATATTATTTATTTATAATCTATAAAGCCAGCGGGATATACCCAACAATATATTTAACGAAGATAAAACTATTTAACAAAGTAATATTAAGTAAAAGTAACAGCAACTAATAACAATAAATGTAAAAAAATGAACTAAACTCAACTAAAATTAATGGCCACTGGTTATAATAAATGGAAAAGAAAATGAGCTGATCTGTCTATTGCTGTGGTATGTGAAGTTCACTGCTGTATTGCACAAAGTCACTATCAAGTCAGCAAAGATATCAATGTCACTCTCAGTACTGTTTATAAATTTGTTGACATTTAAGACCACTTTATAAAAAAAATTTAAAAAAAGCTGTGAGCAGAGTGAGCACACTGAGTTGACCAAGGCAGACACCAATCCATTTAAACTTTTTGTTATGAAAGACTCTCAAAAGATGTATTCTGACTACAGAACGAGTTAGAGTGTGTAATTTACTACATAAAGAAATAAGATTTACCCACTTTCCTGTTACCAGGGCTCGGCAATAATTTTTTTTTCTGTCAAAAAGTCTGCCTTATGATTACAATA